GCAGTGTGAATGCAAAGTTGTATAAAATGCAGAATTGTGCAGTATCGTGCACCTCATATGATATTGAGAGTAAAAGCCTGTATTGTATTGTATTCTATTGTGTTGCATTGTATTTTATTTTATTGTACTGTATTGTAATTTATTGTATTGTAATGTATGGTATTGTACTGTATTGTATTGCATTGTATTGAACTGAATTATATTATTTTGTATTGCACTGTTTTGCCTAGTATTGTATTGTATTTTATCGTACTGTATTGTATTTCATTGTATTGTACTGTATTATATTGTATCGTATTATAATGTGTGCCAGTGGCCTCGAGTGCACCGAGCAAAACAAGCAACTCCCTCGCTTCGATGACTCGCAACGACCGAGAAAATTAGACTCAGACGCTGCCTGCCCTCCATGGAGCCCGGCATCACGGAGGAGAATTGAAAACGAATTTCTGATGGCACTCCAGGGAGCTAATGCCTAAAAATAAGCACTTTGTTCCTGATTTATTATCGGTTGTACAGTTGGATATTTACTTTCTTAGAGGTTCTTGAAAATGAACTTGGAGAGGTTATTTTCCTGTATACGCTCACATATCTTGACTCAATGGCTGCTTGGATATTGAATTGAAAGCATGAATGAATGGAGCATTAAATTGAATGGGTATTTAAACATTGAAAAAATGTATCTCAAATACAGTATACCTTTAAATAACTGATGCATCGAATGAAATGGGGTTAGAAATAAATTTGATCTTAAATCAAAAGTGTTTTAAAAGTAGTTACACTCGGAATGAAATGCACAATTATTTAACTTGTTTATCAAGTCAAATGAATTTTTAAATAAATAGCATATTTGATTGTATCAACCTTTAAAAAAATGTAAATTAAATCAATTGGACATTTGAAATCAATACATTGACACTGAAACTGTCCATGAAAATATAGATTTTCTAAATATTTTATATTTTAGATTTTCATAAATATAAATTTTCTAAAGTTTTATTCAGGACAATTACTGAGCCATTGGCAGTACCAGCTCACATCTGTGGGACTAATTAGAGTCGATGATATCATAGATGAAGCAGAGGTAATTCATTTGATATTATGCAATAAGTGTATACAAGCTTCATTATCTGCATTATGGTTGCATATGATTGCGACAGTACGCTCACTTGAGCGGCTAAATGTGATGATATACCCAAGCAATATTCCTTAACAACGCATGCAAAACGTACGCTCAGAAAAATAAAGGCGATCTTGTCCAAATGACGATGCACTTGCGCCCGTACGTGGGTTATATTTGGCCCGGCAAAGCACAAGGGTGTATTAGTGCTAAATTTAAAATTTATTGCTAAATGCATTAGTACTAAATAATTGGGCCGGCAAAAAGGCGTATTAGTAACAGGCCATGGGCCTATTTCTTCAGTGCCGACACTTATATTCTATGCTATTAGTGCTAAATGTAGAATGCGTGTCACTATTTGGACATTATGACTCATTTAGTCATCAGAGTGTTCGCTCAAGTTAAGCCTCTCGTCCGTTCATGACGAACATTTTTTCTGAAATGCGAGACTTGGAAGCAATGACGGGAATTATAACGCCAGCGTTTGTCTAACCAACGCAAATATTTTATGTTTATTGTTTAACGTTATTGCGGGACGTTAACGTGAGCGTTTGCCCTTGCTTGGTGGTTGACCGCTTCATATATACTTTTGCACGCAAGTTTTCTGAAAAAAATGCCATTTTATTTCGGGAAGTTCCTGACAATTGATCAAGGTATTAAATATAAATGAAACATCATTAATTATTTAAGCAATTTACGCAGAAACCTTTAGACAAAGTCAAGACATCTTTTCATGCATGACACACTCGTAGAATTTCAGCAGAATAATTTATTCAACGAAAAAATCTGAATGTAGCTTATCCTGAATTTCGTCCAGACGCCGGCCTCGCTCAGTGCCACCACCAGTTGCTGAGTCCCAAAACCCAGCTTCGCGACTCAATTCTCAGAAATCTGTAGATTTTCTTCACTTTTTGGGAGGCGAGGTCCAGACAAATAAATTGAATAGTCCTTCTTTTACGTAACACAGAACCTGAGCCCCAAAGGGACATGTATTTCCCCCGACACCTTGCTCGTGTTTGGGGCGTCAGGCGCTGATGGATCAATGCATGCAAGCGTAACTTGTGTGTTGAAATCTTTGAAAGCCCAATTTTTACATTTCCTTCACATTTCATGTTTTCTTTCAAACAACGAGACATTGAGAATAAGTAAAATTTATAAGAATAAGTATGATAAATAACGATAAGTAAGATGCACAGGAGTATTGAGGATACATATGAGTAAGTAAGCTATGTTATGGTACGCAAGATACACAGCAATAAGCAAGATACTGATACATAAGATACATAATCGTAAGCTAATTCGCAAGGGCTCAGGTTCTTATTAAAAATTTTTGGTCTTATATCAGTTGCCAAAAACTAAATAATAAATAATTTAGACATATATTTAACGCCTATTTCAGGTTTCCATTTATGATTTCTTGTCGATCAGTTTTGTTAGGATGCGATTGTTACGGATTATTTTGCAATAGAATGAAAATGGCAACCAATAACAGTCCGAGGGGCACGGCGAAAGGAAGGGCCGAAGTCCGAGGGAAGCGGTTAGAGGGGAAGGACAACAGGCCTGGGGAGATTTGCATATAAATGAGAGTCCGCGCACCCGCTAGACGCAGGCTAAGAAACGATCGGGCATTTTCCCCTCGGCGCAACACACGACAAATTTTAGTGAATGTTGCAAAACTCGGGAAACGGTGCACAAGCGGAGTATCTGAGGGTAACGGTGCACAGGCGGGAGTATCTGAGGGTAACGGTTCACAGGGGGGAGTATCTGAGGGTAACGGTTCACAGGCGGGAGTATCTGAGGGTAACGGTGCACAGGCGGGAGTATCTGAGGGTAACGGTGCACAGGCGGGAGTATCCGAGGGTAACGGTGCACAAGCGAGAGTTTCTGAGGGTAACGGTGCACAGGCGGGAGTATCCAAGGGTAACGGTTCACAGGCGGGAGTATCTGAGGGTAACGGTGTACAGGCGGGAGTATCTGAGGGTAACGGTGCACAGGCGGGAGTATCTGAGGGTAACGGTTCGCTGGCGGGAATATCTGAAGGTAACGGTGCACCGGCAGGAGTATCTGAGGGTAACGGGGCACAGGCGAGAGTATCTGAGGGTAACGGCGCACAGGCGGGAGTATCTGAGGGTAACGGTGCACAGGCGAGAGTATCTGAGGGTAACGGTGCACAGGCGAGAGTATCTGAGGGTAACGGTGCACAGGCTGTCTCTTATACACATCTAGATGTGTATAAGAGACAGGGTTGGGTGTGTCTCAAGACCCTTAGCTTGGCTGCGCCGACTCCTACTTGGTTACTGGGTGAAGTTGGGTGTGTATCAAAACCCTTAGCTTGGCTGCGCCGACTCCTACTTGGTTACTGGGTGAAGTTGGGTGTGTCTCAAAACCCTTAGCTTGGCTGCGCCGACTCCTACTTGGTTACTGGGTGAGGTTGGGTGTGTCTCAAGACCCTTAGTTTGGCTGCGCCGACTCCTACTTGGTTACGGGGTATACGCCTACAGTGTACGTATTGTGGGAACGGCGAGGAACAAGAGCGGCAAAAATAGATTCAAAAGGACATTTATCATGAAAAAGTGCTTTATTCATCAATTTTATAAGTTAAAATTTGTACTTAATATAAAGTTTTAGGATTAAAGGCATTTTGACCAAGATTTAAGATCTCTTTTTTTTCCAACCAAAGTGCGGCCAAGATGTTGAACTGCTTATTTCTTCTGCTAACAAAGAATTGACTTACAAATGAATATCGCCATGTTGACTAATTTGTTATTTTTATGTTGTATTGGAATGTAGTCATCAGGTGCGGCACTTAATATCAGGACGAAGCGAGTTGCCATTCGTAATAAAAAATGGGATCATTTGAAGCCATGTCATTAAAATAAAAAGTGGGATCATTTGAAGCAATTTTATGGCCGAAGTAAAGCCAATAAAACTTGTAATTTTTCCCCTAGCGTAAAAGGTAAAATGGATGTTGCAGGAAGAGATGTGCTAGTATTTTCTTTTTTGACTTATCTGCCGTGGTATTCAGCAAACTTTTTGATGCAGAACTGACATCGTTGTGCATATTGTCGGAAATTCAGGACAAAAACGGAACGCCAAGAAATGATGCCGACAAGCCTTTTGTTCATTTATGAAGGAGGTTGATTTACCGATCATCGAGCAACGCATTGTAGGAAAGACCGCGATGTCATCAACGATTTAATTTAAAAGGAAAACAGGCGGGCTTTTCTTCTTGCCAAACCTCGACGTAAAAAAGTACCGTGCGTGAAAAGATATGTAAGAAATATTCTACTAATATTTTATTCGCAATAATGATATATTTTATGGATTTTTTAATGGTGCACCATGGATCGACTAGTTTTCTCTACTCATCTTTACACCGAAATGAGCAGTTGCTGCATTACGGCGCTTCTCATATTCACACTCAAATTTATTCCATAAAAATATGAATGGCTTATGGAACATATAGGCTTACCGTTGTCTTTTGCTTATAATGAATTTCGAAATATGCGAGAATTAAAATTAGGGTTCGATTGGGTTATAGGGCTCACCTTTAAGTTGAGAGATCTTGATCTGAATCTAGTGACAAACCTAACATGGAAATGAACTTTGGGAATAACATAACATAACATAGTGATGTCGGCGCTGAAGTGTAGGCCTGATGTGGCCTGTCGCCGATTCTTTTCCTTTTCGTGCCTTGTTCATAGATCTAAACTCGTGTCATTTGACCGGATCTTTTCATGATTGGCGATAGTTTGAAGTAGCTACTAGACTTCCACCGGGTTCGATAAGGAGCTAGGCAATTCAAATCTGAACATATATTTTTCCATAGCTTTATCTAGTCTGTTCTTGAACGCGTTCATACTTGGAGCGCCAACGTGTACGAAGTGTTCTCTTCAAATATCGAACAAATTTTGCAATCTTATACCATAAAATTGAGGCTAGACTTCATTGTTAGACATGATTGATAACTCAAAAATTCATTTTGATTTCACTCATGCTAGTCTTGAATTAGAATGACACCAAAGAAATAATTCTAATAAGCTCTTTTCATGAGCTAATTAGAATGGCTTTTTCCCTGTTACCTTTATCTATAAATTTTATTAGTTCTAATGAGACGCCAGGAAAAATGCAAATCAATTACAAATTCGAAAGAACTTTTTACTTACAAATACCACAAGCAAATTCGCGAATAAATCAAAAGTATGTAGTATAATGTTGGTTTATGTGGTTGATCGGTGAATGCGTTGATGTTGATGTTTTTGTTGTTGATTGTGATGTTGTTGATGGCGTTGTTGATGTTGTCAGTTGCTATGTTACCGTTGTTGTGTTGTTTGTTTCAATGCCATTAGGACCAAACAAAATGAAGGCGGAAGGTGCAAAAAATAAAATGAAGGTGGAATTGCAGTCTAAATTTCAAGTTTAAATATCCTTCATGAGATAATATACTTCTTTAAACATTCTTCTTCCGGAACTTTTCGTTAACCCAGAGAATTTCATAGCAACATGAAACTGTTTTATTCTCGAACTGGCGTAGGTTGGATTTGACCGAGTTGAGCTGACTGAAGACTTGAGAAAAGTTGAAGTAGCGTAGCCGTTCAACTTGACGCCAGATTTCGTCTCTATAAGTCGTTGACTCAGCTGAGCATACAATGAGAATTGATAAGTCCTGCAACAGTGATATATATTTGCGTAGATTGATGTATATTGAACAACTATTTTCGCTTCCAAATGTTTAAGTGAGTAAAAAGTTTTCATTTTTAAAAGATTGGCCATTAAACTCTTTATTTCGACACATACATTCCCAAATGCTCAAGTGATTGAAATCGCAGCTATTTATATAGTGAATGAATGCAAGCAAAATTTCTATCAATCCATTAATTCTGTTAACTCGATGACACTGATAGCTTGTCTAATTAGTGATACACATTCATCCTGGTTCAGCATATATCTCTGATTTGATTGAATTTGCTCTCATTAGCAAAAATATTACCCCAATCTTACTTATAATGTCGGTCTGGTTACATTCTCGCTTCTCTCTAATTTTGTTATAACTAGGATCTACTCGTGGTTATCTACTCTTAGCATTCCATTAGATTCAGAGAAATTTAAGCAATGACTTTGTGGCCCAGAAACACTCCTGATATACAAGTAACTAATTATTATATTCGATTTTATGCCTCTAACATGCATGGCCATGACTTGTTGGTCTAGAAACACTGCTGATACAAGCAATTAATTATTATATTATATTATATGCCTCTAACATGTCTCACCTGGGTGGATCTCCATGCCTATCTGCTTGACGTTGGCCAGTAACTCGACATCGTCGGTAAGAACGTCGTTGAAGAACTCCAGCTCAGCGCCTTCGATGTCCATCTTGAGGTAGTCGATAACGCTTTCTTCTTCTCCGATCTTCTTCAGGATTTCCCGGTAGGTGAAAGCCTGCTCAATATTGTCCTAAAATTAACGTGTTTGGAGACAAATTTATTTTTACTTGTAAGATCTAAACTATTGTAACTAAATTATATTTTTACGGGACTTACAAAAATAAAAGAAAATAAGAGAGGGTTGGCTAAAAATAAATAAATAAATGTAAATTCAGAATCATTTCTGCAAATTGTAAGACTATCGGCGAGTTTTTAAGTGATTTTCTTTAAATTCATTCATAGATTCCATAAGACATCCAGTGAATTCTTAGACACGATGTAATAAACTTATGATCGGCAGTCAGTTTCTCGCTTTGATAAGGCGAAATTTTTTTATAATTTCTTCAATGGAGTTACTAACTCATAAAAAAGTACCCTAGTAAATTATTACCGGTAGTTTCTCAGTAGCCCCCTTAACAGTCCCTAATCCCCACGGTTGGAAGTGGATGTCGTGCCCTCTGAGATGGGCTGGCTGCCCCATTGTCGGGTCAAACGCGTACACCTGCGCGTTGTGAATTTAGGAAATTAAATGACGAATATAATTAAACAAACGCGTACACCTGCGCGTTGTGAATTTAGGAAATTAAATGGCTAATATAATTAAACAAACGCATACAACTGCGCGTTGTGAATTTAGGAAATTAAACGGTGAATATAATTTAATGAACGCATACAACTGCGCGTTGTGAATTTAGGAAATTAAATGGCTAATATAATTTAATGAACGCATACATCTGCGCGTTGTGAATGTAGGAAATTCAATGGTGAATATAATTAAATGAATGCGTACACATGCGCGTTGTGAATTTAAGAAATTAAATGGCTAATATAATTTAATGAACGCATACACATGCGCGTTGTAAATTTAGGAAATTAAATGGCTAATATAATTTAATGAACGCTTACACCCGCGCGTTGTGAATTTAGGAAATTTAACGGCTAATATAATTAAACGAATCTCGGAAATAACTTCCAGTTGTTGAACAAACGGAACAGTGGAAAATATTGAAGCATACGGCAACATTTGTTACAACTGTACCATAATAACAAATATGTAATTAAGTACTATATATCGTTTTTTTTCTTACTTCTATACCGTTATTATATTTATATATATAATTGGCTACCTTATTTCCGTATTTTCTGTACAACTATACCGTTATAAAAATATGTAATTAGTTATTTACATCCCTATTTTTTCTTACATCTGTATCGTTATGACAAACATGTAGTTGGTAACCTAGCATCCGTATATTTATTATAACAGAATCTTTATGCCAACGATTTAATTGGTTACCTTATACCCGTATTTTTCCTACAAATGTATCGTTTTACCAAACATCTAATTGGTAGCCTTGCATCCGTATTTTACATAACTGTATCGTTATAACCAAGTTGTTATTAATAGCTATGCATCCTTATTTTTCTCATTACTGCACCCTCATAAAAATGACTGAATTAGCAACCTTGTATCCGCATGTTTCTCACAACTACACCCTTACAAAAAAAGATAGAATTTGTAATTTTGTATCCGCTGATACAAAATTACGAATGGGACAAGAATGAATTAATTCGTCGAAAACTTTTTTCAAATGACGACACAGAGGATTAAATCTATAGTGAGATTTTTCGCAAAGGATTTTTATAAAAAATTCTTTGTCTTGGATCAATTTTAGATTCCACGTAGGAACAGCATTAAAGATGAAAAATAAAAATAAGACGAGGTGGTTGACATGGCCAATGAACAGCCAAGCCCAAGCAGAAACTGAACTAGAAGCTCGACTAAAGTTCGCCCATTAAATTACGTCGAGTTCGAGGAGCCACCACCCAGTGAAAATTTACAGACGCGGCAGCTTCTGATTTGGGTTACCAGAAGCTGGGGCGACTCTAAATTTTATTAAATCAAGAATAATTGGCTAATGGTCGCCTTCTAAGAGGCATTTTATAATAAATTCGTCATTCTTAATTGAATTCTGGAAAGAGGTTGCAATCACTGGGAGCTTCTAAGGGCAGATTAACCGAACACTTTAAAGGACTCTTGGCTGACACTTGATTATGCGACGCACTAATCTCGGTCACTCTCAGCAGTCTGCGACATAATGAATCTGTGGAGGCTATCTTCTAATGAATTTCTACAAAAAATTACATGCAAAATAAAAGCAGCTGTATAAGAATTTAACTTTTTAAGAGACGAAAAACAGGAAAAACATACTGAAAAAAGTAACATCTTTTTGTTAACCTGAAAGAGACGGAGTTTCAGTTTAAAAAAAAAATTTAAACACAGTTAAATAAGAAACCTATTTAATTAAATGTATGGTGACAGAGGATTTACAAATTAAACGGGAAATAACTGATACTAAAAATACTAAAATAAAACTAAACTTTTGGGAATCTCGGCAATATAAAACGAAAAAGTTAATTGAAGGTAACACCTAAAACTACGCTTCAAAGCGGTAACACCAAAAATATAAGGCAAAAAAAATAATTAATTAAAAACACGCGATGGTCGTAGAAGCGAGGGCATCGAACGCGCGGCCGACAGCCTCAGACGAAGCTCGGGACAACTGTGCTGTTATGCATTTAATTACGTTGCTGCCGCAATGCACAGTGTTCCACCAAAAACCCATGCTAACTAATGACCACGCCATGAAACTGCATATTTCTTCACTTAAACGCCGATAATTACATAGGAGCGTAAAGCAGGTATTTGGTGCAGTGCCCTCACAAGACGCAGATTGATGGCCAACATCAAGGAAGCGTTTGTCCTCCTCGGGCGATTTTGTGCAGGCTAGCCTCACCAAAGTGCAACTGACATGTGTTCATATTTTTTTTGAGCCATAGAATGACATCTTTGAACGCTCGGTATAGCCGGTGGTCCACTTTAAATAAATCGCTGCACTGAAGCTGCGACGCATTGGTCATCAAAATTTCTGCAAAGAATATAGCTCCTCTAAACTCGTCGACCGTTAATTTTTTCAAGCGCTAAATAGTATCGGGTTATTTTCCGTTGAATTAATTTATAATTCTCCTGTAGATTCAATTCTTTACATTACCATGCGAGGATCAACACAAATCACTTCACAAAAGCTACAATAGATGCTAAGAACAATCGTTGCCCCGAACGTTTTATACAATTATTCCAATAAGCGTATCATTTTAAAATAAGTCATCTTGTAAATCTATCGGTCGTCTCTTAAGCTTCATCTAAATTTTAAATTTTACCTCACAGGCAAAATCGGTCAGAGTGTATGGGTGACCCGATACATTGTCAATAGTGAGCAAGCAACTTTTTTATTGATATTTATTCTAAATTTAAATATTTTTTCATTTCAAACGAACAAAATTGAATAGGAAGAGAGATTTCAACACAATTTAATGATCATTAATTGCAGAGAGTAAATCCCAAGAAAATTTGATCCAACTCTTCTATTTCGATGCAGGTAAGAACATTTGCTAATTAATCGCTAAATCGAGCCTTCAGCAGAATTAATTGTGCGAAAAGATTAATTAAGAAAATTCGAATTGCATTCGGGTGCATTTGATAATTTTTTGTTGATAATTTTTCGGTACTATATTAATGAATAAGCCAAAAAATAAGTTGAATATCTTCCGTGCGTATACTGAAGTGTTGTACAACATTAATATTACAAAAATATATCAATCAATATCCTAAATATACATTCTAGAGAAAAGTGTAAATTGCAGAAGCAAACTTGCATCCCAAACATATATCAAATTATTTTTTGACGAATGATCTACCCAAATCTGTATGACAGGTCAGAGAAAGAAAACGCCATCGGCATCTCGGCGTTTGAGGAGAAAGGGCGAGGAGACGGTGAAAGTTGGATGTCTTAGGCACCTGCTATTTGGTGGACAGTGTCTGTCGGACGATGCAAACTCGGTAGACACTTTACTTTATGGTAGGTGCACTTGGAGAACACTCTACCTCAGTATGGACACTGTACCAAATGGTACGCGGACTTGGTGGGCATTCTACCAGATTAACTGATGGACAAGTTGTTTTATAGTGGGTACTAAATGTGCGGACATCCCACCTCAGATCAGTTAAAAGTAACTCTGTGGATATTCTCTCTCAGGTCAAGTAAATCTGTGGACACTACCAGACAGGATACGTTGTATGTGAACACTGAACATTGTGGCAGGTGTTGTCGCTGGACACAAGAATCGATTTACCGCACTGTCAGTGGAAGCTTTAACAGACGGTCGATGATTTGTGGGAACGATGTACCCGGTGTGAAATGTGCACTGTGTCGTCACTGCACATCCTGAATGTCAATGTACTAAAAATTCTTTCAAGCAATATATTGTATGTTCACAGAAAAAGTAACATACAATAATTGAGGAACACCTTGTATTCCATGGCGAAATAAACAAGAAGGGAATATGTTTTCAGCATCAAAATATAAGAAGATTCATTCGTTCGGTTGAATCGTATTCAGGATTGTAAACTAAATTCTATGTTTTACCCAATACGTTGTTCGAAATAATACTACATATTCACCAGCGCTCCTCTAGTCTGAATGAAAGCAGGTATCCCACATTACACGTGTCGGATAAAAAAATAAATTAAACAAACTACCAGCCAGTCTAGAGAGTGTGTGTTTAAGACGGCGGAAAAAATCCTCATTCACAACTCAGCACGAGTTCGAGTGTGGACAAAAAGAGAACATAGCAAGGGCCGTCTAGTACGCTTCTTGTCATTGATCGTATGGTCTCGAAAATAGAAATTACAGAACTTAGATGTTATGCAGTGGACCAAGTGTGAAGCAACTTGGCGGCTGATCAGCATCTTTCAAGTAGAAAACGACAAAAGTCGTTTCAGAAGTCACTTGAAGTTTTGGGCTGACAGAGAATCGGCGATTTGTGAAAAAGGATGCCATAGAATAAATACTATTCAAATCTATATTTCAAAAGTGCACAATTTCACGACGAAAATAATTTTCTAACTAAATATCATTTTCAATCCATAAATAAATTCTATAGAATTTTTGCGATGTACTGAAATAAAATAAAAAACTATCATACAGTGACGCAGTAATATGCACATACGTCGAACGTGAAGAGTCTCTGAATGAACGGAATGAACGCTTTCCAGCGTAAAGGATGAAAGTTAAATATTTAGTACAGACTTGGAAACCAGGTGCAATTTGTCTGGGTATTTCCGGGAGCGGCGCATGAAAGTGATAATAAAGCCAGAAAATATGGCAGTTCACGTGACTTGGGCGACCGCATTCTATCCATCAACTTTAACGTCTGGGCAATAAACAGAAAATATTTCTTCAATTTCTCCAGTGTGGGTTTCAGATGACGTTTTTCCGGGGAAAGAGCACAATAAATTTGCTGAGCATTATCAATACTATTAACTAGCAGCATGACGAACAAGGGGCATGTTATCTTAACCATTAAGCCATTACTTCAATTGCGCTCCTCCCGGGGACCATTGAAGCCGAGGCACGGCAATGATGCGGATAGGAAATGAAGCAATTCTCAGCAGGTCACTTAAATGAGATTTTCTTGAGAGCAGCAATTATAGTGGCTAGCGTGTGTGTGGTCGCCCCACACATGTAGGAGAAATATGGCTAAGAATTAGCCTATGAAAATGCTGCAAATTAGACCATTACTCTACATGAAATAAATATAGACTTCATATTTAAAAAAATTACAAATAAGATTAAATTTAGATACAAATAACGAAGTTATCGAATAGATCGGTACTCGATCTATTCGATCGAGTCTTCGAGTCGAGACCGGCAGACCCAAGGCAAGTCTCTCAACTAAGCATTAACGCATATTCTTATCGTGCAAATGAGGCCTGTCACGTCGGGGCCTTTGAATTCTTCGTGCGATTCTTGTTGAAAATTGAATATCCATGTTAAGATGAAGTTATTACAAATGCTTGAGACTTCAAGAAACGAATTTTCACTGTCGAAAACTTAATAGCAATGCCAATTTTACTGAAAAACGGTACTATTTGCATAACTTTTGGCAGTGCTTTTTTTAATTTCTAAATTATTTTCTATTCAATGAGACATGAGGTTTAAGACATGACATGAGGTTTTTGTGAATAAGAAAACGATAATCATGATCATAACCATGCTGCTTAAATCGTAATCTAATCGGATTTAATCATAATTGCATGATCTACCTCGACATGAATATACCTCTACTCTACCTCAACGCAATGATCGAATAAATTTTTCACAGATGATTTTTAAAAGTATTTTTTATTTTTTTTGGTCGAGTAATTTAATGCTTTCTTTAGCTTTATTGTAGGAAACACATAGCGCTGTTTCATCGAATTAAACGAAGAAACTTTAAATAAAGAGATTCGTATTCAGGACCA